GGACACGTTCTTCGGGGAGGAGAAGTGGCGCGAGGAAGGCGGCCGCGAGAAGGAGGCCGCGGCGCGCAGGATGGCGGCGCTGATGCGGCAGGCAGAGGCGCGCAGGAGAGACGAGGAGGAGAGGGAGAGGGTGTCGCCGCGCAGTGTACGAATACTCTGATAAGGGGGAGAAGGCCCGCCACCGACAGTCTGTACAGTAACCGTCTAAGTCTGACTGTAAAGTCGAGTTGACAAATAGAGAGGTCCATTGTCAACGGAACTGCCTAGTAGTGTCATAAAATCGTCGACAGTCTTGTTGCAGACTGCTTATCCATGGATGAACCATATCGGACCAGACCTGTCCAAATCCTTAGTCCAAATCCTTCTCAGTGCCAATTCGAAGAATTATGACACATACCTACTCATGTACATATGCGACGATTGGGAACATGCATGTATCGCACACGCTCATTTGCAGTCGCTATAGCATAGTTCGTCGAATTATACGGAGCTAGTAGGCTAGTGCTTCAATACGTTACATCACGGCGCCATATATGCACAAGTGTTGCTCATATGCAGGATGAACGGAATAGATCTGTCTGAATTGCGTCTATCATTGCACTGATCATGCATACGTCCAATCAAACTGACATTTAGGCAATTGACCTTGCATGCATGTGCAATTGCGAGTAATTGGCATTTCGCATGTGCATGGACATACTAACGTACCGGCTGAATCGATCGAACGTTTCCAGTTTATCTTGCGCATGCGCCATGTGCAGACAGTCAACATAATTTTGGATCTTTTGAATCCGTTTTCCATAGCATTGCAAGTTTTCGGTTTCAACACTTTGCATGTGCGGTCTTGCATGATACTAACCGTATTCAAAGACACTTAATATTTTATTGATGTAATCATGACACACCGACACTGAATACGATCAAATTTGTCACAAACAACGATCAGTTCGATGAATTGCTCAAGGTTGCAGTTTTGAAACAACTGTGGTTGAGTGAACGGTAGGTACTGACGTAAGACACATCGGATCTGTTACAAATCACTGCAATTAATGCGTGCATGGTGCCATTTGCTCAAAACTAAGCTGTCAAAAACTTTTGTTAAGTAAGCTTCTAACGCTTACTTCGTCGTGACAATGATGCCGTTGAAATCTCAGCACAATCTCCCTGATAACCAGACGCAGAAACTTTCCCACCGCAGCCAATTTTGCCAAGGACTGGATGTCGTGTACACTACCTGCATCTCTCCCGCGTGCTTCGAAAGTAACAAGAAAACTCTCTCGACTATCAAAGCCGTCCAAGGATGGTTGCGACTCTCGCAAGCGAAAATCGATTGTCATCCAATGACATCCCCTGATTTTACAAGGCTTTTGAGACGGATCACTGGACTCCTATATTAGGTGCCTGACTCTGACTTTGCATGCAAGGTTGCAAGCTTTGACCTCCGTGTGGACAATGCAAGTGCTTTCCCCGGGCTGCATGTTCCTCCGCCCTACGCGTTGACCACCATGCCCCCTGCGCAGGTGCACACAACAGGAGGTCAGCCTTGACCACCCCTCGGACGAGGAGCAGCAGGCGACATGTAACGACCACGCTGGAATCCCAGAGCAACTTGAGGGGAGCAGGCGGTGCTCTGACCGAGCGGAGCAGGGAGCCCACCGAACATTTGTGGAAAGACTACCGGCGTCCTCAGCACAGGCGGTCCGCAAGAACAAGTCGGTTCTGCAGCCTGCACCCTTGTGTCCGCCAACACTGACGTCTGGTTCCACCACAAGGCTTGCACCTGCGCTTTCGGAGACGGTTACTGCCCACCCCTGCGCATGCGGGTCTTTGCTCACCGTTGGGGTGGATGACCTGGCCGGTGATGTACGACGCGTCGGCCGAGGCCAGGAACACGTACGCCGGCGCGACCTCGCTGGGGTGCCCCGCGCGGCCCAGCGGCGTCTCCTCCCCGAACTTGGCCACCTTCTCCTCGGGGAACGTGGCGCTGATCAGCGGCGTCCATATCGGGCCGGGGGCCACGCCTGCACACAGCCACGCATGGGGAAGCGCGTCACGCAGGGGGGCAGACTGAACCAGCGGGCAGCGGGCTGCGGACTGCGTAGTCAGTGTCAATAAATTGGGTCCAATGCGATTCGTGCCAGATTTGAACCAGAGGCTGTGTTTACTAGAAACACTTCGAATCCGTGCAAACTTCCTCAAGTCAAACCTAGCAACCCGCAAATCCGCTCTACACAGCCCTTTTTAGCAGACACGAAACTACAGACTGCAACAACAGCAGTTTCGCCCAAGTCAGGCCCAACAACGGAGGTGCCTGAGCCAGTCACGAGACAGGAGTGCGGGAGAAGAGCCACACCGTTGACGCGGATGTTGCGAGACGCGAGGTTGAGCGCGAGGGCGCGCGTGAAGGCGACGTTGGCGCCCTTGGATGCGGTGTAGTCGATGAGCTGCTTGTTGCCCTTGTACGCGTTCACGCTGGCCGTGTTGATGATACAGCCGCCCTCCGGCATGGCCGGCAGCAGGTGCCGCGTCAAAAAGAACTGGCTGTACACGTTCGTGCGGAACGTGCGCTCCACCTGCACCCACCGCAGCAGCAGTCGGTTGTGGCGCGGAAGATTTCCGCAGAGGACAGCGGAGCAGTCGAAGGCAGCAGCAGGAAGCAACCTTAGACGAAGCTCCAGGGTCTGGCTCGCACCAACCGACAGGAGGAGTTTAGTGCCTCACAAGCTCACAAGGGTGTAGCATGTGCACGCTTACCGTCTCTGGCGACAGCTCCTCGAACTTTTGCACGGCATGCTGTTCGCCCGCGTGGTTCACCTGATCAACACATACCCGGGTATGCCGTCAGTTGACCCCAGGACATGGGCGATGCACATCCAGTTGGGGGGGCTCTCTCAACGACTGTGGCTTTCACTTTCAGTACCCAGTTGGGGGGGCTCTCTCAACAACTGTTGCTTTCACTCTCAGTACGTTTAGAAAGTCTTACTGACAACGGGGGAAACTGCGCTGGTGGCGAGAGTCAGCAACCTTAGAAACGGATACCATCAAAGGAAGGCCGTCTTTTGCTGTGCGGCCTCATGTGAGCCCCTCTGCCCCCATAATGGCAGGGTTGCCACACACTGCAACACAGAGGCGCAGGCCCCTCCCCTTACCAGGATGTCGATCCGGCCATGGTCGCGTAGGAAGGCGTCGGCCACCTGCTTGCACTGGTCGTCGTAGCCCAGGTCCGCTGCGTACTTGGTGGCCTTGCGCTTCCCGCCCGCCACCTCGGCCAGCAGCGCCAGCGTGTCCTCCACGTCCTTCTCCTCCTGGCCCGCCACGTACGTGATGCCCACATCAGCACCTTCCATGGCAAACAGCGCGGCCACGGCGCGACCGATGCCCGAGTCGCCACCTGGAAGCATGCAAGGGACACCCGAAATTGAAGGGGGCCAATGCAGCTTGCACCAACAACGTTGGCAGTGGCGGAGGGAGCAACTCCCAGGGATAACGGCCAAGCATTGCAAGGCCCGAGCTTTCATTACAGCAATGAGGTGTTGCAGGATAGACAATCGAAGAAAGAATGTGCCATGTTGGTTCAGAACCCACATTCAGCACACAAAATGGAAACGATCTTTTTCGCCAACCTCAATGGCCCACACTTCAAAAGAAGCAGAAGTAGACCTGTCATCAGAGTTGTGAACAGGCCAATTCAGCCATGATTGTTGCAGACTGTTTTATCCTGGAGGCTCTGCTGCTCATTACGAGTCCCCTCGAAATGGCCACAAGGGCCTTTTCCTTTGTGTGTTTCCGTTCATTTTATGGCCACACAGCACCATAAGGACATATCCAGTGAGGCACCATGCCATGCTCTGTGTCCGTGACACGCAGGGACGCATGGCACCCCATTCCCTGAGGAACAGCAAGTGCTCTGTTGATTTGCATGCACTGGCACATGCATGCACGCTGTCAGAGGCACCCCCGCAACAAGTCTTCAGCTTAATTCCAGCCCCCACTTCTCTTCCCCACCCCGGTGCAGCATGCATGCACCAGTGGGCTGCTTCCCCCGCTGTCCTCCCCTGCGGCCTCACCTGTGATCAGTGCCTTCTTGCCCTCCAGCTTGCCCGCTGCCTTGTAGTGCTGCGGAATAGTCTCTGGCTTCACTGCCATCTTGTGCTCCTTCCCTGGCTGCATATCCTGGCGCGCCTTCTCTTCACCCGCCTCGAACCCGGTGGCTTGGGAGCCAGAAGGGGTCTGGGCCGCCATTATGGACAGGGTTCTGGTGACGGATTTACGCGGGGATTGGCCGGAGCTGGGCTGCTGTGGGACCTGCTTCAGGGCGGGGCTCACAAGGAGGCGGCGCAGGCTCGACGGGGTCGTCCCAGGCAGCGAGAAACCACCAGCTGCACTACGCGCAACCGACGCGTCGCAGGACAGGCGGAACAAGGAGGGGGAGCCTGAGGCGAGCTGTGGCGCAGCAGGCAGGCGGGTGGCAGCAGACTGCAGGCGACCCAAGGAACGCGAGGCGGTGGCGAGCGTGCAAGGCGTCATGGGGAGGGGCGCCAACGAATGCAGCTGCACTTTTCAATCTTTTGGACGTTATAACTGTTTTCACTGCACCTGGAGCAAACGTACAGCAACTCCGAGCTAGCTAACCACCGGCACCTACCGTATAGGACCTGTAGCTGTGATTGGTACCGTACGCACTGCGCAGCCCGTTGTGGCGTTCGCTGCATGCACGATGGGAGGTAACCTGTAAGCTCTTCTGTTTGAACATGGCTTGGGACCTTGCTTGGGACCTTGCTTTGCTTGCTCGCTTGCAAGTTGCATCATGCATATACGTCGTCCGTTTTGCATGCGAATCCCAGCATTTAGTGCTTGCACGAGCCTCTTGTGCCAACTCCGGCCCGCTTAACAGTTAAGGTAGAAGTATGGCATTCAA